CTGTAGTTAAGTGCAAGAGTCGTAAGAATTATGCTTCATACATAAATGGAGAAATAAAAATACAGAAACATTTTCAAGCCTGACTGTAGCACCTGCCTTTGGCTGTCCATCAGAGATGCCTAAGCCCCCCAAAGTGACGGTATGTAGATAGTCTCACTGCCAGAATTAACTTTTATGAGTTAAGCATCCATATTACCTCCTAAGACAGAGGCTTCGGGACTTGTTACCTTAAAGGAAGCTGGGGTTCATATCAGCAACAACTACAGTTACTACTGTCCAAAGCTTGTAAAACCTAAATCTTAAGGATCCAAATGGGAAGACAAGAAAAATCAGAGAATGCTGGGAGTTTGTGACTAAAGCGATTTATCCAAAAGGTAAAAACTAAGGCAAGGACAAGGAACCAATGGGGCTGGTATTGCTCAGTTTATTTCTTCCAGACTGTCACCACTCTTTTTATAATTTTTGCATTATTTCTGACCACACTACAATATATTCCTGTGTAGCCCTCCAAATAGGTATGAAGGCCATGAAACACTCAGCAGAGAAGGCCCGCAACTCAGGCAAGTACTTAAATCAACTGAAATTAAGGAATAAACAAACATCTATGGATTTCTGTGCGTTCTGGATCAAACCCTCAGTGAGTAGCGAAATGATGAGTAGCAGGACTTTGGGCATCTTGTGCAGTTGTCTGATAGAATGGTAGAGTTCTACCACCCCAGCCCATGCACTCGATTATAAATATATTAAATGAACATTCAAACCATAATTATTTTTAAATGGTGGTAACAGCACTTGTTTGTCAGAGATAGACAAACCATCTGACTGCACAAGTACTCATCTCCACATATTTCATTGCAAGGAATGTAAGGAAAGATACATACTACTAAATATACATTCAGACTATTGCAAAGCACAGAACCAAAATATCATCTAAAAGAGAATAATTCCTACTGAGAATGTTGCCTCTTTCTGGCGAGTCCAATTCACCACATAAGAGAGTATATTTTTGATGATCCTAAATCAAGCTTCCAGTAGGGAAGATTTTAAAATATTCTTGTGTTGTAACAAAATGTTCCCGCTGGTGTTGTAATGAAAGAAAGAAAGAAAGGAGGAAAAAAACCACAAACAAACAAACAAACAAACAAACACAACAAAACAAACATCTCCTGGCAGGAAATTAATTATTGAGTATTCCACTGCTTGATGATGCGCTCCTACATTCTGCACAGGCTTTCTAATTTTCTCTTTCGATATGTGGAGAAATTCACTATCGAGAACATACAAATAGAATAAGGAGCACAAGAATATCAGTTCATTAAATGCATTTAGAAACAGAACAGACCTGGAGTGAGGAACCTGGTTTGTGCATCACCACACCTGGTTCTTATTCCCTCTTTATATTCCCCTCTCCTCTTCTCCATCAGATTGTCACTTTTGCTTCTGATCTCTGAAATTACCGCTGTCAAGGATGGAAGCAGTGCGCCTGGCTTTTAGCATCACTTACCTGCCAGAGCTTTAGCTATCACTTCCTTCATTGAAAAAATAAAATGGAAAATCTCAGATCTTGATGGAAAGGGAAAATAAAAGCCCATCATCATGTGCTTATGTCTAAATATCCAGACATAATTCCATTTTTAAAACCATCCTCTTTTCCCCTATGTCCAGTCCGTTTAGCAAATCCCACCCCTGGCTGTCAGTTTTAGTCTCCCTGGGAAAAAGCTGAAAACGCCATGCATGCCATAATTTCACCCATCAGTTAGGTGACAGAATATATAGTTCCTGAGGCTACGTCTGTATCCAGCACACGCACCTAGAACAACTCCTGAATTCAGTGGGATCACACCACTGCAAAAGCACCCCCACGAGAGCAGATACTTCCCAGCAACTGGCATCCTGGATCCTTCCTGGATGTGGAAGTACCAAACTAGAGAGGGAAGATGCAACAGACTGAAACAGCATATGCCATCTTCAAATAGTATTTTACGTCAGCAGTGCTCTATAGCTTAGCTAAGATATAATGAAGAACTTTGAGAAAAATGAGTAATTTTAGCTTTTAAAAAAAGGAGGCAGAAAGGGTATGAAAAACTGCTACAGCAGATGGCTGTATGATGCCTGCAGAAACTTTAATACCAGCTGGGCTGCTCAGGTGCTAGTGGTGCTGTTTCTCACCATCATCATCACTTGGGCTCATCTCCCTGGGCTCTTCCACCGGCTGCTGGGCAGGAAGGCTTGGACACAGCACGACAGGACGCCTCTATCAGCCTTCCAGACCTGAAAGACCTCGTATTTGGCTGGCTCCATGCATCAGCAGAAGCCTCCATCTCTGCACACAGACATGCCAGTGTTTTCACATGTTGCTCCTATCTGCAATTACTTCACTGCTGCCTCCCATCCTCTCCTTACAACATACTCCCTCTTCTTGGGTCTATATTCTTATCATGGGGTTCCCGGAGACCGGGAACCACCCTCGCATACATAAAATGTCCCACTGAAAGGAAGGATTCTGGAATAAAACAAACCACCAGCTTCACAGCACCTACTCCAAACCCAGCTGGTCTTGCAAGAGAGCGCTGCGGGAGCGGGAGCTGCAGCAGCAGGCGGGGACCCTCAGAACCCACGGTCCTTCGCGTGGCCCCACGGGAGCTTTGCCGGTGCTGCTGGCAACTCTGCACCATCCCCGGGTAGTTTTTTATCCTAGACTCATGACTTTCTAGCACCTCAAAACTCTTACCGACTCTGCGGCTGACAGACAATGACACTAGCGGTGATTCTGATCGCATGGTTTTGAGAGGAGAGAATGAATTTTCAATTATAAAAGCAGGAGCAAGTTTAACTACTACATATGAACGTAGAGCACGTGCTGCCATCTTCCAAAAAACTACCCAGAAGAGAAGCACCACGCTTTGCCACTGAGCTCCTGAGTGACAAAAAAAAAAAAAAAAAAAAAAAAAAAAAAAAATCACACTCTCCTGAGTATCAGACTCACCATCTGTAAAATGTTTTTCATCTCTAGAAGATAATGTGAGAACTATGTGTTACAAATTCTATATACTGTAAGTGATAGGTATTATCCCTTGCTTTGGAGCAGCACCTTAGAACAAATGCCTTTTCTCCCCTGTAAGAGCCCGCGTGGGACATAAAACTTCTTAAAACCCTATTTAGTAGTGCAAGCAAGATGACAACTAACAGATCTCTCAAAATTCCTCTTGTAGGGTAAGAAGGGAACAGGAGGGTTTTTTCATGAACATAGTGTTATTCAAAGGAATTTGCCCTGTAGGATGACATTCTCCTACTGAACTACAGGAATTTTAGAGAAGGCTGCGTGCATCTGTATAAATGCATCTTAAGTTCCAGAAAGGGAAATCGGTTTAACTCCTTCTTACACAAATGAGTGAGAGGCAAAGCCGAAAATATATTACACTTTTTTAAGAAGAGATTTCTTTTCAATTCCTTCTCAAAAAATGCCCATGAATTAAGGATTAAACCGGGTTTAATTCCTACAGTTTTGAGCAACAAGAGATCAGAGGCAGGCCGTCCATGCTAACACATAGAGTCGAAAGAGGCAGAGCCAGGAGTCAGAACTGTAGAATTACACTGTAATGAGAGACTGTCAAAACCCAAAGGGAGTTCAACCTGGAAGCAACAGCCCCGGCTGTACCCAAAATCTGAATTTCAGAGGTTATGATGATGCAGGTCAAAATGTTGCCGAGTGACCCCATCAGCAATTAACTGCATTAATACAACACCAGAGCTGAAAGAATGGCTAATTTGAGTCTCTCCACTGATAAATTACACATCTTCTATAATCAAGCCAAACCAAAGCCAATTTCCAGCAACTGCACCGCCTCTGCCAGGAGACAGTGCCTTAATATCATTATGCATAAACAGGAAGAGATAATGACCTATAATTCAAGCCTGTTATTTTTATGGAACACGAAGATGCACTGCAGTATAATGTAATCTGTTGCTTAAGACTGGTATGTTATGTTGAACAAATTGTCCTCCCATAAAACACTGCTGCTTTTTCTTCTTCGACCCGATTCTTGCCACTCGCAAAGAGTTAGCTGGTGAGGGGCAAACGTAACTTTGGAGGAACTACTACACCGATAATGAACTACACTCGAACCTGGGTATTTGCATCCTTTCCGCCAGCACAGCCTGTGGCGGAACAGGAGAGCATCTCGTAGATGATTTACCCAAAAGCTCTTCCCATGTTTATTCAACAGTAGCTTGTGAGATGGTACGTGGAACTGAGCGCTCAGCCGGCCACCGGCTTCCCTCCGGGCTGCGCGGATACGGCCCCAGAGCCGCGCCCCGACCGCGGCCGAGCACCCCCAAACCGCCCGGCCGGAGGGGCAGGGCGGGCTCTGCCCCCCAAGCTTGTGGAGCTCAGGCTCCGCGGGGATTAAAAGGTAAACCCCCCCCCTTACCCGCAGAGGCGGGGGGATCCCCGGCACCCCTCGCTCCGCACCTCCCAGCCGGCCAGGACCCCCCCCCCCCCCCCCCCCCCCCGAGAGGGGGAGCGAGGTGAGCCGGAGGCTGTAGCACCCCCCCACACACAGACACCCCCCCCCCCCGACGGCCCTCGGGAGGAGGCTATGGGGAGGCAGCGGCCCCCCGGGGCGGGATCCACCGCCCCCCCTCCGCCGCATCCCCCGCGCCCCGTCCCTCCCGCGGGGTCCGGCGCCCCCCCCCCCCCGCCCCAACGCCGGGGGTTCTCCGCGGGCTGGGCGGGCCCGCCGCCGCGCTGAAGGGAAACTTTGGCCCCGCCGCCTTCCTCCTCCTCCTCCTCCTCCTCCTCCTCCTCCTCCTGCGGCCCCGCGCCGCCCCCGCTGCGGGGAGCCGGGGGGGGTCCGGGGGGGGGGGGGGCGCGCTGGGGAGCCGGCGGCAGCCCCCGCACCGCGGCGCGGGGAGAGGCGGGGGCGGAAGGACCGGCCCGGGGGGAGAGGAAGGGGAGCGGGGGCGGCGCGGGGGCGGTTCTCCCGGGGGTGTCGGTTTACCTTGGAGGTTCTGCACTCGGATGTCGCTGATGTGCCCGATGAGCTCCTCGCGTTGGAACCAGTCCCACTCCTGCCCGGCCATGGGGACGGGGGGCCGGGAGGAGGGGAGGGGGGGGGGGGGGGGGGGGGAGAAAGCCGGCGGGCACCGCCGCCGCCGCTTTCACCGGCACCGACGGCGGGAGCGGAGCGGGGGGGGGGGGGGCGGCCCCTCTCCGCCCCGCCCCGCGGCCCGCCCCTACCCGCCCTCCCTCCGCCCGGGGGGGCGGGGGTCCGGCCGTGCCCCCCCCCCCGCCTGCCGCCCCTTCCCTCCCATCGCATCGCATCGTCTCGGCGTGGGGGGGGGGGGGAGCGGATGAGCCACCCCCCCCCCCCCCGCCCCGGCCCGTCCGGGAGCGGCCTGTTAGCGCTCTAAATAAATACGTTTTTTTCCTACTGAGGCAGCGGGGGGGGGGGGCTGTAAACAATGCCGAGCTCTTGCCCGCTTTCCCTTACCTGTTCGTGGGGTCGGGGGAAGTGTCGGCCCCTGTACTAAGTGTCACGCACCCACGGCAGAGAGGGGAGAAGAAAATCTGAGCGGCGGAGGGGCTTTCCTCGTGGGGGTGGGATGAGCGCCACTGTAAAGTAAAAGCACAAACTGAATGAGTTTGCATACTCATTTAGCCCGCTCTTGCTCGTCTGTTCAGGCTGTCAAATTTCCTTTGTGGCGGATGTTTGCGTCGGGTATCTTAAGTTACGCGGGTTTTCATCAAAACTGGGCAGGCATTGTTACCAACGCTCTTCGGTATCACGAAGATCTGTGCTCTACAAACTCGGTGAAGAGCAGGAGCATTTCCCTTACATACAGGGCATTTCATGACAATATACCGCTGTTCGGAGTTTTGTGCCTGTTTCCTTTTCAAACCGTGAAGACTGTATAATGTAAACAGCAAATTTTGACACAATCCAGTCAGACTAGTATAGCATCATTAGTTAGACTAGCAAAACACGCAAGCTGAGATCTACAAAGTTAAACACAAACAAACTGGGATCTAGAGATTGTGGCCCTTTCAAGTTGGAAGTGTTTATGTGATCCCAAGTAAATTCTTACTCCACACAACCAGTTGTTTCACCCAGCTCAGGAATGCAGCGCTCTTCCCACAGCCCGCTCCGGTGATTTCTCTATTATGACTCAAAATCAGATGGTGAGAAGGCAAAGGCATCCATAAACCATCTAATAGGTGAGCTATTCGTCACCGCTATAACACGCACCAGCCAGCTATCCCCCAAATCCAGTCTCCAAGAGTCTGAGGAGGTCTTTAGCGGTTTACACATCAAGGCTCAAAAGTTTTGCACAAAGGTAAGGACAGATGAATGCCATGCTGAAGAGCTTATAAACCCGAATGCAATGAGCAGAAGAAACAGCTTGTGCCTAGGAAAATGCAGCTGAACTCAGCCAGATTTGCACAAATCACAGTGCCGGGCTTTGACTTCATTTTGCGCTGGGGGGACCTGTTTTGTTTTTTTTTTTTTTTTTCCAGGAGGTCTCTGAGCGGACTGAAAGCGTCGGAACTGCGTTTGGAGGTGGAGCTGGAAACGGAGCCGGTGTGGCTGTGGGGAAAGCAGGTGAGTGACTTCACAGTGTCGGTGAAATACTGTCCGCGAGGTCCGCCGGAGGTCCCTAGTCCACGCTGCTGCTCAAAGCAGGACCACTGCCCACGCCGGACGGGGACAGCTGAGGCTTTCTCTCACCGTGTGTGAGCATCCTCCAGGAGCTGGGCTTTCACAAGCTCTCTAGATAGCCTCTCCCAGTCCGCACTGGCCTGCTTCTGAGACAGTGGCCGCTTGCTGTGGGCGGTATGCCAGCTGGGGAAGGGGAGTTGGTGGGAGACGCAGGTAAATGAACGAGAAGCGGACCGGTCTGCAACCTTCAGCAGCAGAGTCGTAGAATCACAGAATCGTTTAGGTTGAAAAAGACCTTTAAGATGAGCAAGTCCAACCATAAACCCAACACTGCCAAGTCCACCACTAAACCATGTCCCTAAGTGCCACATCTACACGTCTTTTAAATACCTCCAGGGATGGTGACACAACCACTTCCCTGGGCAGCCTGTTCCAGTGCTTGGCGACCCTTTCCGTGAAGAAATTTTTCCTCATATCCAATCTAAACCTTCCCTGGTGCAACTTAAGGCTATTTCCCTTGTCCTATCGCTTGTTAATTGGGAAACAGACTGACACCCCCCTCGCTCTAACCTCCTTGCAGGTGGTTGTTGTAGAGAGCGATAAGGTCTCCCCTCAGCTTCCTTTTCCCCAGGCTAAAAACTCCAATTCCCTCAGCCGCCCCTCAGAAGACTTGTGCTCTAGACCCTTCACCAGGTTCACTGCCCTGTTTTGGACGTGCTCCAGCACCTCAATGTCTTTCATGTAGTGAGGAGCCCAAAACTGAGCACAGTGTTGGAGTTGTGGCCTTACCCGTGCCGAGTACAGGGGGGACAATTATTTTCCTAGTCCTGCTGGCCACGCTATTCCTGATACAGAAGGTGGACGCTGAGGTGCAGCAGAAGAAGCAGAGGTCAGAGGAAGCAATCCAGTAACTCCTCACTGCCAGCCCCACCTGATGTGTGATGTTACAGCTGTAATTCATTGCTCTCTGCACCTTTTTCTGGGGCTAATTACTGCCTTCACCCTCCTTGCCCTGTGCGAGAGCTGCCCAGCTCCACTGTCAGGGTGGCTGAGGGTGCAGCCCCCCAGCGCCTTGGACATCTCCAGGCCTGCCGGGTGGCTGCATTTAAATTGCACACTCTGGGTCTCAGGGTCGGGCTGGGTTTAAAGTGTTGTAAATGATTAACGTTGTGGGCACGGGGAAGTTAAAGCTTCCGCTTAGGGAGAGGAGAAAGGCCTTAAACCTTTCTTACCTGGGAAAGCATCTGCCCTATGCAGCCCCCATCCTCTGAAGGCAAAACGGCGCTGGGCGGTGTGGTCCAGCCGGCAGCTCGGGCAGGGATTGCCCGCTCTCCCCAAGAGCAGCGATGCTGCAGCGAGCCCTCCTCCCGCCCGGGAGTCAGACAGGACCTCAACCTTGGCCTGGGGTCCCAGCCCATCGGGCTGGTTTGGCCACTCCAGTTTCTAGCCCAGCACATCAATAAAAGCTGCTTCGACCTCGTCTTCTATTAATACGCTGGGCCCTGAGCTACTGTGAATGAAAACTGTTTCGCTCAGCGGGCGTGCAGCTCTGCCCAGGGAGGCAGCAGCCCGTGTTTGTCCAGCCGAGACTCTCAGATAGCTCTTCAGCACCTTCCCCAAACCAGCTTCGCGGTTAGCAGAAGCCCTCAGAGGTAGAACCTCCTCTGAGATGGTTGTAAAAAAAAATTGCAATATATGCAGAACTAAGTGCTCCAAAATGAAAAGCTGGGCCTCTAAAATTTTAAGGACACTAAAAAATTGTGAGATCAAAAGGGGCATCCTTTATAAATACTTTTCTTCAAGCTTTTACATTCTTCCCTGCAACCATGTGCTCTATGAATCAACTCAAGAAGAAAGTATGAAATCTGAGATTCTCACATGCGGTCAGAACTCCAAACGTTATGTTACTTGTCATAAAATCTGCAAATGCTTGTGGGAAATTATCTGTGAAAATACTATATGCCTTCTAAGAAGTAACTGATTATATACAGTGAGGAGTAAAGAACTTCTCTTAAACAAAAAGTGATTTCAGATTTTGTTATTAAAGTTCACTTGCCTTTTGATGTTTAAGGACAATCCTATAACTGAAAAAGCAGGTTACGTTTAATTAAGTCCCTTGGCTCAGACTTGTTACTTAGGGCAACACTATAAACACTTGGCAGAGACTCTGAACTGTAATAACAGGTTTATTAAAAAAAGATTTTGGTCACATATGAGAAGGCAGGGAGTCTAATAGGAAGATCATGGGGAACTTACCACTGTTCCACATCACCTTCATCTTTTTTCTTTTTAGTGTATGCAGAATAAAGTTGTTAAAAAGCTTTCAGTTTGCCATCCTTTGCATATATTACCTGTGAGTGATTTAATGAGTTGAATTCTCAGTTTGAAAAGAAAATTTATACTTGAAGATTGTCTGATAGTAGCAACAAAACCCCTCAAATCCTACAGGTAGGCTTTGTGCCTGTCCAGATGGAGGGTGCCTTGTGGCTCCTGCTAAAATAGCAAGGGAAAGTGTTTGACACAAGGGAAGTTAGTTATGGCATTAAGGAAGATATTTATGCCATTGTAGCTAAATTGCTTTGCTTTATAAACAGAGTTCCCCATATGAACAGTCATTCCAGGAATAGATTCTTTTCTGGCTTTGTTTAAACCAGTTCCAGACCAATGGTAACCAGAAAAAGATGTTGCCTATCTTGCAATAGGTACGTCCATGTGAAGACATCGTGTATATTCAACTCAAACGTCAGAGAAGTGTAACTTCCTAGCCAGGCATGCCTTAGCCATCCCTGGCTGTTCTGGTCAAAGAGTTACAAAAATAACTCCACACCGATCCCTGCTAGACCTCCTTCTGCCCACATTCCCAAAAGATCCTTGTTGAACGCCACAGGCCTACACAGTGCTCCTCTGCCCACGACAAATAGCGTTTCTGGAAGGGTGGTGGGCATTTGAGTCCTGCCCCTACACTACTGCCAGAGCCCTCGAGTCTTTATGTGCTCTTCTGGTTTGTTAAATGGGCTACGGAGAAGGTGATTTTTAATCTGTTTAGTTCTTCCGAAGTCTTCCTGGAAGAGGACTGAAAACAGAGGCTTTCTTACCCTATAATTGAATGGGGAAAGGGGAGGAAAGTTGAAGTCTGTAATACAGGAAAGTAATCCAAATTCTTATTTAACTCTCAGATTTTAGAGACACAGTACAACCTGACCTGAATGGTGACTCCATTTCAAGGCAATAATCGTGCCACCGTAGGTCTCATCAACACTTCATTTTCCTTGCTTAGCCCCTATCTGAAACACCAAGGAGTGCCAACCAGGAGAAAAGACTCATTAGCTGGGCCAGATGAATAGCTAAGTGAAGATTCCATTTCTATTACCTTGTCCGACAGCAGCCACCCCTTAGTCTGGCTCCTCTTCCCACACACATGTAAACAATGGGAGGGGTACCATGTAAAATAGGCTTTCAATGCAAAACACCAGAAAAGTCAGGAGAAAAAAGA